GTTTACCGTACCTACAGTTAGGCCTATTGTTTGTATAATTCATTTCTATTAGCATTACGTAAATTACCAGTTGTCAGGATGGCCGAGCGGTCTAAGGCGCCAGACTCAAGGTTCAACCTTGCCAAGCAAAGGCATCGGGGTATTCTGGTCTCCGAATGGAGGCGTGGGTTCGAATCCCACTTCTGACTCCTTTCTTCTTTTTTTTAGCAAAATAATATAAAATAAACGATCTACAGATCAGAGTGATTCCTAACCTCCGATCCCAAAAGTGGTCTATTAACATGAAACCTGTATTCATATTCATCATTACGATTTTATATTACGGTGCACATTCATTAGACAATGGAAATATCCAATGTGCTAGGGTTGGCCTTGCAAAACTAGGAGGACATCCGAACGGAAATCGGAGGGTCGGTCTTGTGGTCGAATCCATGGTGGGGACACCATTTCATGTTTCCCTTTTCAAAATAAATATAAAGTAGGCCTAAACGAATTGGAGAAATGGTAATATTTATGATGCATTTTTAGGTATGCCTATAGGCCATATTGCGAGCCTTACAAGAAGAATTCACTGTATACCTATTTCAACATACGCATAGGCCACAGTTGCTTCAAAATGTAAGTGATTAAAAAATCAGAATTATGAAATAACTTATGCGCACGTGATTGATGATTAACACTCTATCACTAAATTATATCATACCCCTTTGAACTTTGCAAAGTTTACAGATACCGTACCATTTATACATTCAAACGTCATAATTATCATGAATGATTAATTGTAATGCAAATACACTTCTAAAAAAGTGACCTTGGAGAGGTAGACCTTCGCCCCTCTAAGGGAATCCCCTCCATAACGATACGTTTACGACACTCCATTTAATTGACTTAATTTTTTTAATCCGTTACTAAACAGTTTAATATATCGCATTGATAATGTTATTGTGTCCTAATGTCAAACATTTAGATAATTTAAGAATGAAAGAAAAGAATTATAATACATGATGATGATATAATGATGTAATAATTAATATTATAAATCAGTGGTGACGTCATCACTTTTATTTGCATTGAATTTTCCTATCCCCTGTACACTAATATGACTATATCGATATAGTGCCCCCGATTTTTTTGATTTTTTTTATGCGTCTTGTGTGCAAAAAAACTCAAAGCTGGGGTGATTTCAAAAATTGCATTCAGATTCTGCGGGCATCAGGCAATTTTTTCAGGAAATAATGGCTCCTTCGGCTTCTATTTCCTATAGTGTGCTCAAAACCTGACTAATGCTCCTCAGTCGCTAGTAATTTACGGGCTACTGTATTACGTATCTTCCATTGCGTAACGAAGCGTGTCCTACATACACTTTATACGCATGTCCATTAAACTATGACATCATTTTTTTTATAAGAAGATGAATGCACACTAAATAAACGCGACACGACTACACTTATGATAATATGAATATGTTTTGCGTTGTTTCTTGACAAAGATCATTAAAAATTTGGCAAATTTTCTTGAGAGCAAATACAGGGAACTATGACTACGTATCCACACCACCTGGAATCGGAAGATTCGTTCGATTTCCTTTTTAAAATCGTTCTTATTGGAGACGCTGGTGTAGGCAAAACTTGTGTTGTTCAACGTTTTAAATCTGGGGCTTTCCTAGAGAAACAACATGCAACTATCGGAGTTGATTTTACTATGAAAACATTAAATATTGATGGAGCTAGAGTAAAGGTTTGTTGTTAGTAGTTTTAAGTCTAGTTAGTAGTCTATAATCTGAAGTTAAGTTACTTGTAAATTTAAAATCATACGTACGGCTGCCATAAGTAAGCTTGTGAGACATCGAGGTTTACACTAATGGAAAGTAAACACGGAACAGATTCACTAGGACTGGGAGGTGTTGGCTCAGATGGTGGTGGTAGGAGAAGGTCAAGGGCTAGCCAGAGTTTTATAGTAATAATATGCAGGTCGGTATTACTTCTGACTACATATTTATGGCTAGGAGCCTTAGGCAATTTTGGTCCTCTAGCACCATATAGTAACTATAGGCCTAGGCTAGGCCTAATTCAATTATATATAATTAGGGGAATCCCCTAGGCTAGGGTAGGCCTACACCTTTTCTGAATATTTTAATTGGTTAGAAATGAATTCACTGTACATTTTCAAATGTTGCTGAACAAAGAACAGGTCAACTTGGCCCAAGTCAAACTCATCCCAACAAGTCAGTGAAGAGTCGTTTTGACCTGGGCCGAATTGACTCAGGGCCAAAAAACAACCCGGATTCAAACAAATCCCAAGCCCAAGTCAAGCTGCCACAGAGTCAACTTTCCCCCATGTCAACAGCCTAAGAATAACATCAACTTTGTCCAAAGAAAGTCAGCTTGGCCTCACATCAACTCAACCATGAATTTGGGTTCCCCTTCCCAGTTCCCAACCACTACATTGATCTTTCGGCATACAATTTTTTACGATGGCCAGTGTGCAAAATTCCTTGCATATATATCACAGCCTATCGAGCCATTAACATCTATTGTACATTTGTTTTCATTTGTATGTAGCAACCAATCATCACGTCATTTTCCAGTTAAGTGACTTTAACTATTCAGTCATATGAACAAATTACAGCTTTTGATATTTTAAATTACTCAAAAATGATATACTGTACTTCTACTGGCCCAGGATACTAATCAGTGGTGATCCAGGAATTCAAAATACTGTAGAGGGGGTCCCAGGTGGGAACTTTCACACAATGGACCCTACAGTAGACCACCTCAGCCCGTCATGGTTGGGGCTGAGGTAAGAAAATCAATGATTATGGCACCTCTAGATGGCCGGAATTTAGGGGTGGGAGCAGGCTGGCTGGGCACTCCTCCACCCCCCTAACCATATACGCTACCAATATTTTGAATTGAAATTATACAGGGTACCCTGTCATTGATATTCATTACTGTGCACAATAATACCTCAAAATATAAATTATATCCTTTTATTTATATTTAGCTTCAAGTATGGGACACAGCTGGTCAGGAGAGGTTTAGAACAATAACACAGAGCTATTACCGAAGTGCAAACGGCGTAGTATTAGCTTACGATATCACCAAAAAAGAATCATTTAATAACATTCCACGATGGATAGAAGATGTACAGAAGTATGCTGGTACCAACGTACTTCAAGTTCTTATAGGTAAATTGTCGCCCCCCCCCCCCCCTTGATTGTGAAGTGGATGGTTTCTTGTTTTTATTATATTTTATAAATGTTAACAGCCAAGCTACAGCCATTTTATAACTACAAAATATTTATTGTTTTTGTTTTGATCTTTATCTTCTATCCTTTTCTCTTTTATTTGGTCATTTCCTTAGTTTGAATCTTTCTGTAAAACCAGGCTTATGTAACGAAAATAATTTGATTATAATTAACATAATTCTAAATATTTTTTAAGGTCTTGGTATAAACTAGTATGATAATTCAATTCAGTTCTGTATTTATCCATCTTCAAATCAATTTACAAATATAAATTTTTTAAATGTTAAAAAGTTCATAAAAGATGAAAAGGACCTTTCTGAAACTCTAATAAGGAGCTTGTAAAATGAAGACCTGGATGTACAATATTAAAATTTTACGAGGACACATGACAATACAACCTCACCTAAACTAACATTAAGAAAAATAATTTAAATAGCAAGCAAGAATTTAAATAGTAAGCAAACCAATAACCAAGTACAACTTTCAATGGGTTGGGGATGCTTGGTAATACAATGATAAAAAATCTTCTATTCTGTACTCTTGAAAAGTATAAGACTGCTTTTTCTAATAATCAACCTGAACTGGAAACAACATGCAATTTAAACAAGGATTTCACAATACTTTATATTTGTCATCTAGTGGTTAGAAATTGCCAAGGCAAGTCAACTGACAATCTAAGACAAGAATAATTCTTTCCATACACTATATTACCATTCAACATTTCTTGCATTTGGCATAGCTTTTATGGTAGCAAGCTTTCCCTCCTAAAATAATAATCATTAAAAAAAAAACAAATCTTTTTATTGTACAAAATTACTTTCATTTCCATTCTGACAAGGATGTAGAAACGTACCATTACCGGTATACAGTGTGCAAGCGTGGAGCACATTGTGCAAAAGTCATTGCAAAATAACTGGTTAAAATTCACACGGAATGACGACAGCATTTTGCCTACACGCATACAGTATTGTATAAATTCCATACTTCAAATACTGTCCTTAAGACAAAGTTAAAGAAGCAACAAGGGCTTGAACAATTGATCTGCGAGTTTAACAACTTTACGCCTCACTGCCTTACTTCAAAACACATTTTAAATACAGTACTTCAATATGATGACCCTTGATTGAATTTTTAAAAGGTTACAGTATGACCTTCAAGATCTAAAGAACTTAAAATTCCTGATAACAGACTTTGATTAAGCTCCAGATAGCCTTTTGGTAAGAACTTGTGGTTAAAAAGACATCCTTTGGGATTATTAGCATACAATTGTTCTTTTTGTATTGGAATGTTCATAAGATCAACTTGTAGATCCATACAAAATATTTATAATTCAAGTTATATTATCTAAATATATCCTTATGTTTTATGTTACTACAGTAGTTGCCACTATTGTTTCAATTCACATAGTGTTTAGTTATATCTTAAATTATTATTATTTTATAAGATATATATAGTGGACATATCCAATTAATGGAAGAACAATTCTCAAGGCGCTTCTTTTCTGTGGTCATTGGATACAGAATCAATCATATACAACATGCAGACTCCTCCACTCCCTGGGGATTATTCCTATCTATGCTTGTAATCAGCATTACTGCAGTAATTTTATTCTGAAGCATCATCTCTTACCATGCTCCTACCAAGTAACAATTTATACAAGCATCGGTCTCGAACCCCCGATCTTCCGATAGAAAGCTCAAGACCTGACATTCTGCGCCTCATGCAAATCAGGTTGTATTAGCATAAGGGTTGATAGGAGGGAGCCACGATGGGAAAGTTTAGAGGAGTTAGTTTAGGATTGAAGGGATTATGAACTACCAGGGGTGCCTAAGGGAGGAGGCACTAACTTTACATGGGGGGGGGGGGGTGCCTCCACTCCTTACATTTATGCTGCTTATCTAATCACATCTTTACCACTGTAACACTTTATGCATTACTGTAAAGTAATTTATTCGTTTTTAGATTTAGTGTTTTTATTTCTTTATTATTAATTGATTATTATCAGCATCTTTTTCAAAGAAAAGTATTTGCTTTACATTTTTACAGGTAATAAAAAAGACTTAGAATCATCAAGGGAAGTAAAATTCTCAGATGCGCAAGCTTTGGCTAATCATCACGGAATGCTTATGTGTATGGAAACATCGGCAAAAGATTCAACAAACGTTGACGACACATTTTACCAATTGGCAACAGTTTTGAAGAAGAGGCATGGTGGAGGACCGGCACTAGACACAGGCGGAAACGATACTATTAACCCAATGGATTCAAAAAGGCTGGATGGTTGGGGATGCTGTGGTTCGTAGGTAAATTATTAGTCAAATGAGGGCAGCATTCATCTTATGAGTGCTGTTGACCTTTGAGTTCAGCATTCATTTCAATGAATGCTGTTAACACGAGTTCTTATTTACTTGCCATTCGTATTATTGCCTCCCAGCTTTATCACTCTCAATCAACCCTAAAGTCTGTACCAACCTGAACATACTGTGTGGTCTTAGAGAAGAGGCAACAATAAAAGTGTAGCTGAAATGAATGGAAACAAAGAGGAATGCAACAGTTAGAAAATGTGAATTGATTTTTGCTTTGTATGTCTAGCATGACGTTACTGATTTAAGCAGTAAACAGATGATAGGTTTTTTATACAATAGAGTATTTTTGAAACACCATGCTTCCAGCAGAAAGTCGATGCAAGATTTGATAGAAAAGAAATGAAATATTAATCGTACAGTAGGTCTCACTTCTTCTGCCTAGGAAACCATTCCATTATAATCTAATTTTATATGCTGATAATTTGTATTGCACTTCAAAACATTGTTTTAAACATTATTGTTATAATTTTACACTCATATCAGTATACAGTAGTAGCACATATTTATTGCTTTCTTTTTTAAAAACACTGTTCTACAGGAGTGCCCAGAGGTCAAAGATAGTTCACCAAAGATATGTTTATACTGTATGTATTCAATATTAGACACAAAAGTAGACTGGCACTTCCATGCAGCTACTGTAATACCCAAACAACATAATACAATTATGGAAATTAGGAGTGTATCAATTCACCTTTTTAGACAAAAAAAATGATTTCATTTATTAATTTTATTTATTTATTTTGGACATCATATTTGTATCTCGAAATGTTCTATAATATTGAACAGTAGACACACCACCTAAAGGCCTGTTTATACTTCAACGATAACGATATGCGATAACAACATATTTTGACAAATCAAATCAGATGACCGTCATAATCATGGAAAAACATTAAAATTGTAGTAGTAGCAACGATTTTATCGTTTAACGATGATTATGATGTCATCTGATTTGATTTGTTAAAATATTTTGTTATCGTATACACAATAAATCGTTATCGAATCGTCCTAGTGTAAAAAATTCTTATTTCTTTTGTTTTCTATATGAACAATCGCTTTTTAGCTTTTTTTTTATTGTCATCATTATCGTTGAAGTATAAACAGGCCTTTAGCCTGCTTCTCTACTGAAACCAAATGGTAATGAAAGAATAGAAGTATTTGAGGCCTGTTTAAAATCTTGAAAATAATGCCAACTAAAAACTTAGGTGATTGACTTATTAATTGTAATCGACATATATTAATAGTAATTGTAAACTATACGCTGGATGATACTATCACCAGGGTCCCAAGTTGGAAGGAGCCACTACCAAGAGACCTGATGAGCTTTCTAAACACATTTAATTTTATTTTTGCTGCGCATGGCGATACCAATCGGCACAGAATTTTGGGAGACATTGATAATACAGTGGTAAAAAACATGCAAATATTGTGAATTTGCGGTAGATGGGTTATTTTCTTGGAGATCTTGCTTGCAGGAGTGCAGGAGGAACTCCTGCGAGTTGTAAGAGACTTGGGACCCCTCTTATTATGTCAGATTAGTGCATTCTAGAAATTTTCTGCAAAATTTTACATTAATCTTAACATTTCTAAGCAATGTCTAACCAGCATATTGTACTGTACTGAAATCACCATCAACCTTCTGGTACAAGAAAAAATTGAATTCTTCCATTGCATGGTATAAAAATGACAAATTGAAGAAAGCAGGCGTACACTTTTAGAGTGCAGGCCTGCTGTGATGACCTACCTGTTGTCTTTCCACTGTGTATTGCTTTACATGTCAATTATTCAATGGGATCCTCAAATAGTGATTTTGTCTTTCCAAATTAGCAAGCACTTATATATTATTAATTATACTATCAAACATGTTTTTGCAATATTACCAAAAATAGACCAATGCGATAACTGCTTGTATTTAATATAGCAAGTACATAAGTGTAGGATTGGTCAAATGCATTGGTAAATAACTGTGAGTCTTCAAGTGCAACTGTTTATTATAACGTGATAGCGTTTGTAAATTTTCATATTCAGTGTTGGCATTTATCTATATTTTAAATGAGGAACATTATCAATTCTTGTATTTCATGATGTTTGTACCATAATTAATTTTTAAGTAGTTTATCTTTCCTTGAACAAAATAAATATTTGAAGCAAAAATATGGATCAAATAATGAGTAATTACCTATAGAGTCTGCGGTAGTAAAAAAAATAAATATCCTTAATTTTTTTGAATACAAATTATTTAGCACATTTCTGTATTGTTTTTATGTATCATCATTTTATGTGTATTACTGTACATCAGTGTTGTTTTAAAAATGATATTAGTTTTCTGTTGTAAGGTGTGTACTGTAATAGTAACTTGAATTATTATTGTTTAAACAAAGCTAAAGCATTCCATGTATATATACTATATATCAAACATTACATAAGATATATCCATCAACATACAATATGTAAGCATATCTGTCAATGTGTAAACCACACACAACAAAAATATTAAACTGAATAACAATAACTTCCATAACAATATAACAACAATATAATTTGCATTATTGTCTACTTATTAATATGGCATCAACTTTCAACCCATGGCTTGTATAGACCATCATATACTGTAAACACCTGCATACATTTGTAAAATGTAGACTTACTAAAAGTGAGTTTTCAAGTTGTATTTTTATTATTTCTTTATGTGTACAAATGTATTTAGCCTACATGTACATAACTGCCCATCTAGTTATGCATAATAATGTTAAATTACCTTTTTTTTTTGCATAATTTTGCTGATTACTATTAAAGAAGGTACTGAGATTAGAGGGGAAGATATATTTTCATAATTGTTTATTACGATATTATTATTTAGCCATGTTTTCACTAGAAATTAGTGAACTGTATATTTAACTTGTAAGAAAGTACTTTAATACTTATGTATCCATTAATTGACAAGGATTTTTTTTTTAAAGCTAATAGCATAGGTATATGAAAAATTTGTCATTTGATCGTGATAAACTGATTCCGAATTTCCAAAGAACTCCAAAATTATAACTAAACGCTAGATCCTATTTAGAGTGGGTTCCAGTCCCTAAACTTTGTCTAAATCAGTGAAAATGTTTAAAAATAAATCGATTTTGGCACCAATGGCGTTTCATAAGTATACATTTTCTGCGATTAGGAAGTTTCTCGACATACTGTAAACCGATCGCTGGTGCCGCTTTCCAAAATTTGCTAAAGAAAAATTAATAAATTAGAGACTTTAGTTATATTATTAGCTTTTCCTTTACCTTTATGCACTAACAATGTCAGAATACAGAGGTGAAAAAATGATATATGCAAGTAAGAAAACATACAAGCAAATTTGGGGTGGGGATGCCATTCACCTGCCACCCCTGTCTTCACAATTTCTGTTCCAGGGGTTGGAATATTTGCTATTTAAATTTATATCCACCACATTGAACAGTGTAAGATCATCCACTTTTAGCAGGCTTTAATAGAATGACTGAATGAATGAGTTGTTAAAAATTATAAGGTACAATAAAGTGGGTTTACCTGAACAGAATGTTGATTTGTAAGTTTTAAGTTACAGTTTATTTTTAATTTAAAGTAAATTGATTTTGTTGTTACTGAATTCTTGTATGTTTATAGTCAAATAAGAAGTATTGCATTTCATTCAATTCTGGTATGGTGCTGATTTTCTTTAATGATTAAATTTTACATTATCACAATTACATTTTTTAATCAGATTATTATATTTGGTATTAAGCCCAAGTCACGGCTTCGGGCTTTCAAATCAAACAATTTTGTGATCGAGTCCTAGGCTGGGCAAGGCACTTTTGTTTGTCATATATCTGGGGGTTGGGTGTGGTTAGCACACCTTCCAGAAAAAGGTTTCATCCCTCCCTAAACTAAAAATAACCTCAAATCACTGTGCACCCTCTCACTTTACCATTGCGACCTCCTATAATTCATTTGTCAATACTTATAATTATGCCACTGGCCTGTACTGAATGACATGCATGGATGTGAGAAAGTTGCACATTAATCATAAATGTATTTTGGTATACAAATCCTACCGAAGCCCAAGGCTTCAATTTGAGGTTTTACGGTATATTAGAATTTGAATACAGTTGAGATTATATAGCTGGTTAATTTGATAAACAGATGACTAATGTATTGAATGATTTCATGTACTGTATTGTAATTATTTATATCTTTCAAATATTTAATTATAATTAATATCAATTTGTAAATCATTTTGTTTTAATCACTTTGTTGTAATTTTACACATTTAACAAGAAAATATTTGTTGAAATTTCTATAAATAATAAATATGAAAGTTTTATGTTTGCTTTTACTGTATTTAGAAAAAAAATATTAAGTTTGTACAGTTGATGTATTGTTTTTCAGGTTTTTATTACACGATATTTACAAAGGTGTTGACTGCTAATTAAAAGTAATTAGAATAGTATAAAGGGTTGTTATTCAGACCTGAAGCACCATCTAAGAGGAACAGCATTTATTTGTTACAAATTATATATTTCATGTTCAACATCTGTCAATTTTACTTCTACATTTATAATATAATAAATGACATCTGGTGAGAATTGTCAGTGCCAGGATTTTCGTGATCATTGTCTGACACTATCCAGTAAGGTGCACAGGCCTAGCCCCCTGCTGCATCTGACCAATATTGGACCATTTTAAGCTGTTCCAAAGCACATTTTACCCACTAAAAAGGTTTTTTTTTTCATTCCTACTATAAATGATTTTATTTTGTCATGATTTTAATTAATTGTGATTAGGATGGTTTATGGTAGTGACATACTTATTACGTTAAATGTTTCCTGTGAGGTATCTATATCTTCCAAACGTAAGAAACGTGATTTCTTTCCTTTTTAAAATAAAAAAACCTGCAATATATTTGGGTATAAAGAAAACAATTTGTGGTGACTTTTTCTTCTCTACAGTTGTGCAATAGTTTTAGAAAATTTAACCAGCCATTTGCATGATACAAAAGGGTACATTATTTTTGTAAACACCCTTATCCCACCTCTATTCTACCTACTTAATATAGTTAACATTTAGATTTTTATGAAGATTCTTTTAAGCACTTTTCTGTAGCGTCATTCAAACTTATGGGAACTGAGCAAACAAAACAACAAGGCAAGGCTTACACAGAAGCTGTTGTTTTGTGGGACCTAGCAACAATTTTGAAGGGGAAAGGTGCGGTGCTCCAGAAATTTGCCGACAAGGGGTCCGACCAAGGGGCCGACTGTACAGTGATGGTACTACACTAAAAAAAATACAGTACCTGTACTGAAATTAAATTCCTGTAACATCCTGCAGATTTTCCTAAACAATGATTATTAGACACCTACAAATCTAAAAGGCCATAGCTTTGGGAGCTTCAGCCCAAGACCTACACTTGCAATGATAAAACAATTTAAATTTAAAAACATCCAAATACGGTGCCTAGGTGTAGTCTTCCGGAAA